GATATGCAGTGATTGGGGGATGTGTTTCGTTTGGGGACATTTTTCTTTGTCTATCTATTACGTTCTATTATTAATATAAGAATTAGTTTAATATTCAATTTACTTATAAGTATGATATTTCAATTTATTTTATTTTTTATATTTATCTGTTTTTTTTAGATAATTATTATAGTAGTTACACATCTCAAATATTTTAGCAAATGGTAATTATAACTAATAAATATAATTAGTAAATGTATTATAGAAAATATAACACCTATTCATTATAAATAACTAACTTAATAATTTTTTTTAATTCACTCAGAGTTTGTATTGCGCACGACATCAACTTAGAAAAATAATTGATTCCTTCTTTTTTTTTTCTTCAGTTTAGAGTAAGTCTGAGAGTCCAATTTTTTAAAAATATTAAATTATTATTTTGGTTTTAAATTGAACAGGATTAAATATGAGTACATAAGAAGGTATGGGGATAGAGAGCGAAAGAAAGGAACGTGGTTGAAAGCATGCGAAAAACAATGTGGGGAGTGGGGACGTGGGGGTGTGTTGTGACAGGGATGGTGTCATGGTGACGTTGAGTTGCGGGCCTCACGTATCCGTAGTACCACGGCTCTGTAATCTCTTTTTTCAAACATATTCACGCCCCCTCTGTCTTTCTATAACAGTTTATTGGAAAAATCGGAAAAAAATTGTAGAATTTGAATAATTATATATAGGGATTGATTCATAAAAATTATTGTCAAAATCCATAATAATATTATCATGAGTCCCTATTTATAATTTTTCTAATTATATGATCTTTTTTGCAATTTTTCCTAGTTTATTTTAGGTTTGCATAATAAGTAGATTGGATTGGACGATACCAAAACTTAACTTGAAATCTTGTCTGATTTTTTGTTAGGTTAAGCTTGATAGTCTGTAATGTGGTTTAGTCCAGTAGTAACTCAAGATCGGGTTGGGCTGGACTTGATTCACTAGACTAGTAGATTGGTTCAGTTAGTCTGGGACTATAATTTTTTATTTTTCTTTAAATTTTTTTCTTCGTGAGAAGCATGATTTCAATATGACAAATTCAACTAAGACAATAAAAAATACCTATAATCATATAAAACTCATCTTAAAACATTAAGACTTAATAATAAATACATAATAATTTCTAACAACATTAAAAACAATTAGAAGTAACATATAAATTTCAAATTATTAAAAATAAAAAATTCAATCGGACCTAACCGGACCAGCCTAGGTAGTCTGATCACTTGGTCTAGAACCTAGTCCAGCTTGTATTTGGAGTGCATTGGTCCGAGCCGAACTACCTCGAGTTGGAGTGAACTAGATTGGACTATCAGGTTTTTGTATGTCCCTAGTTTATTTGGTCCCCTCTATACATGTTACTCTCTCTTTGTTTTAATATAACAACTAGAATTAATTAATTTATAAACTTTAAAAAATTAATTAAATTGTTATAATATAAAAATTAGATGATTAATTTATAAATTTTAAAAATTAATTAAACTAGTTATTTATAAGACAGATGTCTTGATTTATTTATAATATTTTTTCTAGTCATGCAGATTATAACTTCTCTTTAATAAAAAGTTGCTTTGCTGTGTGTAGTTTATATGGACATTTAAAAAAAATTATAAATTTAAGAAATTGGGTGGATAGGAGATCAAAATAAATCTTTTATCTAATTTTTGTATTTACTACCAGGAAAAATGTATAGTCAAGAGCCCAGTGTCCACCACTCATTCCTTGCCAGTTTCATAAATACGTATGTTATAATCCGTCCATGTAATTTGTCTTTATAATTCCAGCTTCTTTCTCTCAATTATTGGTTATAATGTAGGCTAATTGTGCAACTTTGATATGTTGTTTCTCGGAGCTGAGAAATCTACTCTCATTTGACCCCCCCTTCGCATAGGTAACCCACCACCGTCCAAATTATTATCTGCTGTTTAAAATAGAAGTCTTTAATCTATAATACCAGAATATTACTATAAATTGTAAAATATATAGTAACCCATGCTAATTATATACTATGACTGATAATTCTTTTTTTAAAAATTGTATTTTCCACAATTTTTTTTTACTAAAGCATAGCTATCCTCCTACTTAAAATAGTTCTATTCGAAGTACTGTTTAGCACTAAATGTAGGTACTTCTCTCAGTAAGAATTAAAATTTTAATTTATCACGTTACGAGGGATTAATTTTTTTTACTGGACCTAATCTCGTTGATTCGGGAATGAACATAATTACGAGAAGATATCACTTTTTCTGCAAAATAACTGAATGGGCCATAAATGTACGGGCTTTTGTAAGGCAAATGTTTGAAAAGTATGCGGCGGGCTGTGACGCCATTACATCCCCACAGATGATTGGTAAGAATTAAAATAAATAATAATCACAATAATTACAATCCCCCTTTTAACTTTCTCCCATCACTGTGCCCTTTAATAGCATCTCCCATTTCGTCGCATCACTTACATCCTATGTCATGCGCTCACCCCTATTCCCCCCTTCCCTCATCATCATCATCATACTAATACTAATACTAATACTAATAATAATAATAATAATAATTGCCTCAATCCTCAATCCAACCCCAATTCATCACAACATACGACATATAGCAATTTCTCAATTTCCTTCTCTAATTAACTGGAATTAAAATTTCTTGGCGCCTTTTCTTTTCTTTTTTCTGTTTGAATAAAAACCAGTGTGGTTACTTCACTTGTCTGAGAGTCAAGGGATGGTCCCTAGAAGGCCACAAAAAACCAAGAGAGAGACTGAGAAAAAAAGAAAGGACGCTGCTTTTAATTTTGAGAGAGAGAGAGCCATCACGCACACGCAGAGATCTGATAACAAATCCTGGGCACAGCAGATACAACCTGTGTGGCTGGCTAGACTTTGCAAAAACCAAGTACACTTCACTCTTCTTCTACAAACCCATTCACTCATCTATTATACTCTCTCAAGTCTCCTAGGACCACCTCTGCAACGTCTGGTCCTGTGGGAGGTTGGGATCAGCGTTGGATCGAGATCAGACGGTGGATGATTCTTGCTTTTGCCAGCTGCTGTATGGCTAAATTAGTTATTGTGGCAGGGTGGACCAAGCTATATGAAATTTAGGACAGAGGGGTAGAGGGTGTGAAGTGTTTTTTTGGGGTGGGTTAGGAGACAGAGTGTGGTCCTGAGAAGTGGATCAATAATCATGAGCCGAAAGGAAGAAACTATGTTTGTTTCTGCGTTCCTTTTGTCAGTCGTTTTAGCTGCATTCCTACAAAACTCACTCGCTCTCAAGTTGCGTCCAAATGCAGGATGGGACTTGTGCATTGAAAATTTTGCACTGGATTTGGCCCCTTTTCTGTTTGTCTTGTTCTTCTGTTTTGTTTGTTGGCAAATATGATGGATGGGTGTGATCGTAATGATAGTAATAATACAATCCGTTTCATGAACCCACAAAAAGAAAGAAAGAAAGAAATAAATAAAGGAAAGGGAAATTGAATGGATTGGAGGGTGGCGTCAACTTTGGGTTCTGAAGCATTTTGAGAGGTGAAACGGACAGCGGGAGAGAGAGACCAGAGATAGAGACACAAGTGATGGCCATGATTGGATTGCATAGTGGATACATTGATTGTAGTATATCGGTGAGGATGAGTAGTGTTATGTCGTCTCTCTTTCTCGTGCCTTAGCTATTCCGCTTCGCTGGAAACAACTACACATTTCTCTTCTCCCAAAAACACAATTTATTGCATCACTTCCAAATTTAACTCATCCAATTTATTGACAAACCCAGCTTGCAAAATAATGAGACCACCTTGTATTGACTGTGAGGGGAAAATGAATAAAAAAAAAGGAAAATCCGTTGGTAGCTTACGGATCGGGGATTTGAACCCGACGTGAATCGAACACGCAACCTTCTGATCTGGAGTCAGACGCGCTACCATTGCGCCACGGATCCGCTGCTGGTGCTTTGGCTCCTTGTAAATCTACTTAGTAATTTTTTCAAGTTTTTGACACCGCTACTACTGTCTTTTTTCAAAATCAAAATAATCTGAGTACTTTGATTGTAAGATATATTATTCATGGAAGAATCATAAGATATTTCTCTTGATTTTCTCATGATAAATGATCTCCTTGCATTTTTTTTTTTGCATAACTCAGTTAGAATATTCTTAAATCATTTTGAGTTTGAGACTAATCTTTGTCAGACTGGAAGCGTTAAATTAAAATCCTCTTTAACAAGTATTTTTTTTGGGATTTAAATTTATATTTTCTTTCTTACAGGGATGATACCGTTTATCATCTCACTCTTTAGCTTCTTGTTGATCTCCTGGCACTTTAATTGCATATATTGAATATGGTTAGACTCTCTGTTTTTTGTTGGGTTATTATTTACAAGTTAGCTTCGCAAGCCCATGAAAGGCATCCAATGGGTGGGCTCAAGGAAAGGCCTGTTCAAATCCCTTACTTTCTCGCTTCCCTGGGCCGAATGTGGGCCCAAATAAGTGGGCTTTGTGAAGCCCATTGTGAGAAAAGTAAACACATTAACTAGTGAAGTGGGGCAAAATAATAGAAATGTTCATGTTTACTTATTAGCAGTGTCTCAATTAGAATTATTCTCAACAAAAAGATATGCGATAAAAGAAAAATATAAGCTTTTAAACTCACGTTTAGTTATGGGAGAATTACAATTTCAACAAGGTCTCAAAAAAAAAAAAATCACAGAAGTTGTCATTCTCACTATAAGAATTGTTATTATAGACTGTTGTTGTTATTGAGATTTTTTAATGATTATTTTTCTTTTATAGGATTTGGTTGTATTTTTTTTTTTTTAGTTATCCGCAGTGCTTGAACAACACAAGAGAGCCTGTGTCAACGGGAAAAAGAGGCAAATGCGTTATTATTATTATTATTAATTTATTATTTTGGCCAACGAAACACAAACGTTATTTGACTAGGGAGAAACATTGCCTTCTCATTTTTTCTGGGGTCATAATGGATGCCCAAAGCCGGAAGCCTCTCAAGGTCCACCTGGTCTCCTCCGGCGACTCGCCCGAGTTCGCTCTTCTGAATCAGGCATTGACTCGGACGTCACTCGTCGGACTCGACGCAGAGTGGAAGCCCATTCGAGCGCACCAAACATCCTTCCCCACTGTTTCCCTTCTTCAAATCGCCTGCCAACTCAACTCTGGGCTTGGAGACGTTGGGTCCGGAGACTCGGTGGTTTTTCTGCTGGACCTGTTCTCAATTCCTTTGTCCTTGCTATGGGAATCGCTGAGGAATTTACTTGCCTCTCCTGATATCTTGAAGCTAGGATTCAGGTTTAAGCAGGATTTAATATATCTCTCCTCCACTTTCTGTTCCCAAGGCTGCGATCCTGGTTTTGATGAGGTTAGCAGTTTGTTTAGTTTCCGAGAAAATGCGGGAAACTTATGATACTGATAGCTGAAACTATGAATGTTTTCTTCTGTTCTTATCTTGAACTTCGGCTGACCTCACTTTTGCGTTCATGTTTTGATGAACACGTTTAGTTTTCTGTGACATGCCAGTTTGAAGATATAAGTACGAATGATGGGTATTTTTGTCGATCACTATGGCTTGGATTATTACAGATACAGCCGTCGAATGCTTTCTGAGCTGAATCAATCTATTGGATACTAAATGGACAACAATTTTCCGGCCAGTTGGCCAGTCTTTGCAACCTTTAATGTCTGTAATTAGAAACTGCATATCGAATGACATTTTCTATCAAGTAATGAAAAAATATTTAGTCTCAGAATTTGAATTTGAATTAGAAGTTGCCACATTTAATGCTATAAAATTTTGTTCATTCGGGAATGATAATGACACAAAGGTCAAGCTGACTTGCTTCTTCGTAGAAGTTATGTCAAGAGATGAGTGACTCTTCTAATATTAAACGAGGCGAAAGTGATGCGTTTTCATATTAAGTGACATAACTTGCCTTTATTCCCTGCTCATTTCTGTCTCTTCTGAAGTTGCTGTTACTATCTATGTAAGAATGATGAAAATGGAACATGAGGTAGGCTATATGCCTTTAAGAAGGACGAAACCAGTGGATTTTTGGTATCAGATATACGTATAAGCTTGTGTTATCTGTGGTTGAAATTTATATGGACACTTTCTATGGACGATTTGTGCTTATATTTCATGTTTAATCGTGAATAGGTTGATCCATATGTGGATATTGCTAGCGTATACAATCACCTGCAGCATAAGAAACATGGGAGGAGCATATCAAAACAAATTAAAAGTTTATCAACTATTTGTGGAGAAGTATTGGGCTTTCCTCTCTCAAAGGTTTGCTTCGTAAACTAATTTACCTTACTTCATGCTCACCTTTTGGCTTTCCATCAAATACATTGATATGGTTCTGTATGGTGTGACTTGTGGGTCCAATGTCTCTGATATTTTTTCACATTGGAATGAAAGTGTATTCTTGAATCATATTCTCCAGGAAAAACTAAGCTTTAAATAAGTTACAGTGTGACATTTTGTCTTTCCTTTATTCTTCATGCTCAACCAAGACTTAATCTTGATGCTTGGGATTTTCCTTATATCATTATGTAAATTGATTTTCTGGTATCTGCTTCATCTCCATCCATATCTTTTCCAGCCTTCCTTCTTCTTTTTCTTCCTTACGTAAAAAGTTTAACCATTTTACACTGTTCTTTCTATCCTGTTTTCTATTACAATCAATTAATGGATGAGGTGTAGTGTGTGTATATATTTTGCATTATGACCATATCATTCCTTATTCACTGGGTTCAGTCCAATGATGTAGTAACTTTTAGCTTCAAAATGATCAATTGTTGAGTCTTAGTTCTACTTACCATCAAACATGTCGTCCTACATCAACATTATCAGACTGTGTTCATGTAGAAGTGATAGGTGTATTTTATTTAGGACATTAATATTGTTCCTTGTGTGCTTTCTAATTGAAACATGGACGTTCTCCTATTTGCAGGATTATATCTATCAGAATATCATAACTTTGTAAAGCCGATTTCGAAGAAATCAGTTACTCTGACATCAAAATAAGTACTACAAGCACAAAATCGATATTGTAAACGATCTAAATACAGTAAAAGACATAATTGTCCATATTTTTGCATTTTAATAGATACAGGATTTCTGTCAGCAGTAGAAGATCATCAGGGCAACTCTTGTTTATACTTTATACAAAGATGTGTTGCATTCCCTTGTATTTTCAGTTTCCACTCTCTGTTCAAATGAACTATTCAATTACTATTTTTTGTTAACGGAAATTGTATCATCTTTAGGAACTTCAATGTAGTGATTGGTCGTGTCGTCCTCTTACAGAAGAACAGATAACATATGCAGCCTTGGATGCTCATTGCTTGCTTGAAATATTCAATGTCTTCAGGGAAAAGATTTTGAAAGAAGGTTTGTCAAGCTTGAAGTTTTATGCAAAGAATAACTTGGAACAAATTTACAAGTCTGCAACTCTGGCATTGCATTGTTTACAGGATGGCATCAAAGAATTTCTTTTTTCTTTTCATGACTATTGTTCCTTTGAAATAATTTACTGGGCTTTATGCATGAGTGTTTTATCTTTAAGCTTGGTTTAGTGGGTCTATTTTTAAGCTTGTTCCTTTGAAATAATCTATTCATGCATGGTTTCTGGGAGCAGCAACCAAGAAATATATTTCATTACTTATTCTAGCATATCATATCACCAGAATCATGGATTGTGTTTAGTTTTATGCCTTGTCTGGAGTTGCATCAGATGTCAGAAATGCTTGCTTTGCCTTGGTAACTGAGTTACCTTGTGCTTCTTGGAATTCTTGTGCAAAGTTGTGGAGTTATCTGTTTTTTCAAATCTTGACTTAAGCATGATTTAGTACAGAGTAGTTTCTCATTTCTGCTTCCACGGTTGCCAAGGAAAGTGATTAGAACCCTGCGTCTGAATTGTCATAATTATTAGATATAAAAATTTTTAGAAATAATTGTTTCAAAATTTTAATTCATTGTTTGGTTGATGGATAATGTATAGTAGGAGAGGCATGACAAAAAAAATAGATGCAAACAAAAAAAAAAACTGATTATTTGATAGTTTGTCTGCCAACTCATCTCTTTGCTATCTTGAAGTTCTGGATGCTGATAATAGACCATATAAAATGAACTATCATTACATTTGTATCTATCTGCATCTTCCATTTTCTGTAGTCCTTTATTAGGTTTTCTCTTTGTGCTATGATATACAGTTGAAGTCAAATCCAGCAGACCACATGCCTACTTTTCCTTTTCTTCTCATGCATGATGTGTATGTGGTGCATTGATACATGTAAATTATGTGTGGACTTTTTCTGAAGGATTTTCTTATAGTCTGATCCCAGGATATATTGAGTTATTCTCCACTAGCCCATATATCGATTTCTTTGGTGAACTCTTTGCTGCAGGCAACTCTCTTGCTAACACAGCTGAATTGTCTAATCCTAGTGCGGCTCTTGGGTTGAAAGAGGTTTTCAGACAGCATGATGTGAGTAACAAGATTGTAAAACTGAGGTTTTGTGAAGCTTCGAGCATTGTCCAGGCTTCTGCTTATTCTGATGTTACTCGGATAACAACTGTACCAGGGGGAACAATTCCAAAAGCATCATATAAAAGTACCATGCCAATGGAAGAAATTTTGTTGAAAATTGTGAAAAAATATGGTGAGAGGATTCTGCTTAGGGAGTCTGACAAAATGCCAAAGACCTCAAAGAAAAAGGCAAAAAAGCGGTCATCTACTAATGGGATTTGCAAAGGAAAGCAGTTAGAGAAATTTGATGAGTGGCAAGGGGTCTCTCCTTGGGATCTATCAGTTGGAGGAGATGGATGTCCAAGGTTTCTTTGTGATGTCATGGTAAACATTGAAATCATGAACATTGGATGTTCCCTTCATAAATTCTTCAGGGTTTAGACTTTAGAGGTTTTAAGGATACTGTTAAATGTTAATCAACCAGTAGAGCTTGAGAGAAAAAACAAGGTTTCTTTATTAGTTATCAGTAAGCATTGTCACTTCGATCTGTTTGTGGATTTTTCTTTGTGGTGAATGTTCTATTTTAATGTGGGATCTGAATAAGCAATATAACATAGGATCTCACTTTGCTCAGGTTGAAGGCTTGGCAAAACATTTACGGTGTGTTGGGATAGATGCAGCAATTCCAAATTCAAAGAAACCTGAACCAAGGTTGTAGATACAGTACGTTTATTCTCTCTTCTGCGAGCCCTTTGCTATTGTTTAGAAGGCTGTTGTGATTGTATCTTGCTAATTTCAGGGAGTTGATAGAGCAAGCACGCAAAGACAAAAGAGTGTTGTTGACACGAGATGCCAAGTTGCTAAGACATGGATATCTGATAAAAAATCAAATATATAAAGTGAGGAGTCTTCTGAAAAATGAACAGCTACTTGAGGTATGTTCATTAGAATTACTCCACGAAATAGTTTGATAACGTACATATTCTTTACTTGCTAATTAGTTTAACAGCTTTATGTTATTGTGCACTATTTTTTATGATTTTAGGTCATCGAAACTTTTCAACTGAAAATTAGTGAGGATCAGCTGATGTCAAGGTGCACAAAGTGCAATGGGAGATTTATTCAGAAGCCACTGAGCACTGAAGAGGCTATTCAAGCCGCCAAGGGTTTTCAAAGAATTCCTTCTTGCCTATTTAACAAGAATTTAGAGTTTTGGCAGTGTATGGACTGTCACCAACTTTATTGGGAGGTACAACTTTTTACCATTTCAGTTTCTTCTTCTGAGATTTCCTATTCACTTCTTGACATAATTTCTTTTCATCGACATTTGATGGTCAATTTGTAATTTCAGAAGCATGGTTCCATGGCATGGATGGTTGTCAAGCGCAATTTTTTTAATCTTATTTGATTCATCAAGGGATTTCCTTAACTTGTATGCGTACATTTAATTGTTTGCATTTTGGCATTCCCTATTTTGAATGCATTGTGTTTCTCTGGATCACTTTGTGAGAAGGATCAAAGTCCAGTTACTTAAACATATTAAAGGACTATCTCACGGATCAATCAATGTGATTCTTTCTTCTTCTTTTTTTTTGGCTTTGCCAAAAGAATCTGATCTTGTCTCGGTGAACATCTTATGTGTTTCAGTCATTTGTTTAACCCGAACATATGTGAGTGTGAGGGAGGGAGGAGGTGCCCCCGGGGCTTTTTTTTTTGGGGGGGGGGGGGGGGGCGCCGGGGGGTGTTGCTTAGAAAGTATTTCTTTGTTATGGGATTCTTACCATGTGTACATGGATGTATGATGTTGTAGGCAACTTTCTAACATGCACCTACTGTGCCTGTCCTTTCTACAGGGAACCCAATACCATAATGCAGTACAGAAGTTCATTGACGTTTGCAAGTTGAGTGACTAATTGGAACATCATCGCGGATATGCACTTGAGTGATGCTGTCATCATCGCATGACTCCTTTGACGGCAAATGTTGTTTTCTTGAATATATTTGTCTCAGTTTATTCATGTAATATATATGTAAATCTTATATTCTACATCAAGTTGGATCACGGATTGGCCCACTTTCGATGTTGCGTATTCTTCTGAGTGGAAGCTTTCATTTCAATGGGGAAAAGCTGTATGCCAAAGTAGGAAATCTTAAAATATGCTGCAGCGTTCGCATGCGCTTCTTTGTGTAGTGATGAAAATCTCTGTCCGAATCATAAAATCAATTTCATGGGATTGCGTCGACTTATAACCAATGGACTCAGATTCGGTCGATGGAAGATGAACCTACGTCCACCTCATGTGACGGGCTGAGGTGGTGCAATTTTTTAAGGTGTGTTGCTTTTTCTTTTCTGCTAATTTGCCTCTTAGTGTTGCGAAATGCTACATCGTTCGGTCTCAGCCCAAGCGCTCTCCTCTAGTTCTCTTGACGAGAAAAGAATATATCAACATTATAAACCGTAAAATAAACAAGAAGAAAGAAGTGGGTGTGCGGTAGATAAGCTTGCTTTTTTTAACCCTGTGGAGTTGTGGTGGCCCATAATGCAATTTGGTACATGGTACGTAAACATGAAACAAAAGCACCCGGCTGGACGGCTTTAATGGTGGAATAATCTGATTCTTGAAAAGAGAATGTTTCAAGCTAATCATCATCTTGACCTGAAATTCTTTGGGAAGTTGTTGTTATGCATCATGTAAACAAAGCCTGAATTTCACTATTTCTCTTTTACCAAAAAGTGTGGTTTCAGACTTGATTGCATGTCGTGAAAACTCAGGTCTGTATGTTACCTGGCAGTTCAGTCTTCTCTCTGCTATAAATATATATATATATATATATATATATATTCATTTTAAAATTGAAGCTGGGCTGGGTCATCCTAAAGCACAAAACTTCAATGTAATTGGTGCTGCAATTTTTTAACTAGTCGAGGATTAGTTGTTAGGAAAAGCAGGAAACAGGTGGATATGTGGAAAACTCAACAACGAACGAGGTGTTGGCCAGGTAAAGAACCTTGAAGTTTATGTTGAGTAGATAGGACATGGTAGATTTTAAATACCTTTTGGGTCCCATTGGTTTTGCAGCAGCCGCTCTACATTGAGTCAGCAGCATGTTAATTCTGCCGAGTGGGTGGCCCCGCTTATGTTGGACCAGCCTACCAACAAGTCATTTTCTTGTAAAGATAGTTAAGACCCATAAGTGGAATGCCATTCTCATTAAGCGTAGCGATTTTTAAATTGCCATGCTTCTTTTGAGAAGGAAGTTTCATCTGAATCGTAATGGTATACACAAGGTTGGTTATCCTTCAGAAAAAAGGTTCATACGATAGAAAAGTAGAAGGGATTTATGCTGCTTTTTTATCTTCTACTTATTTGGCATGGCCTCACCATTTCAATAACTTGCTAATTGGAAACCCACCAATCATTTTTGAAAATAAAGCAGAGTTGTTTATGTCCTGTTTTATTATTATTATTTGTTAGAATCCCTTTATAACTAGACTGAGTTAAGGTGTGATATTGTTTATGATTTATGAATTTTATATTATATACTGATGATTTGGTTAATTGTTGGTTTGGCAAATACGAAATTTCATACGAATCATATCATTCCAGAAATTAATAAATTATTTCTCAGGCAACAAGAATTTGTCGGTTTATAAAATGAATAATATGGTGTGGAGCATTTAAAGATTATATTGAATGCATCAAACTGGTGAAAGAATTTCGTTCTGTAATAGCGTAGAAAATCCGGCCCTATAAAAAACTAAATTAAATACCGACCAAAGATTGGGAGACAGCGTAGAGAGCATAATAGGTGTTTTGATAAACTAGAGTTTTAGCAACGGCGTTTTGAGATTTTTGGGAAGCTCAACTTTATCTTAGAAGAAGAGGAAGTATATTTACTCACTTGGTGGTATCAAACCACAAGTCAATTGTCTAATGGACTTTTGACGTTAATATATAAAACACCAAACTACTTCTAAAATCAACTATATAATAATAATTAGATAAACGGTACTTTCAAAGCTAACAAAACGTCAAATGCCAAGCACTTTCTTGATTTCTATGCCTCGCCTTCACATTCCAAACTGATCCATGGGTATAATTGACTTTGACAGATCAAGAAGAAAAATCAATTGTACTACAATAAATTAAAATCCATTTAGTACGAAATATTAAAAATAAGATATAAGAATTGATATTAAAATTGAAAAAAATTATTAAACAGCATTTACTATGAGTAATTTCTTACCATACAGAATTAGCAATCCGATGTAGATGGGATGGGAAAATACTACTTCCTTTTATAGTATTTCTTAATCCTGTATATATGAGTTTACTTAATTCTAACAATTAATTTTTTATGTTAAATACTTTTTTAACATATTTTTTTAATTATAATTGACTTTGGCTGAGCATGAAAATCTATCAATTATGCTATAATAAATTACTTCACTTGCCCCTTTCTCACTGCATAGCTTATCCCCAATATATGATGCGGCTCTTGTGTTGCCGGGTGTGATAATATCAAATCGATAGATGATTTCACAAATTGCCATACCTCACTCGATAATCCAAATGTTAGCTCCAGAAAAAACTGCCACCAAACATATAAAGACACATTAACGGTTAAAAAGGTTACATTGTTTATAAGTCATTGACATTAAAGTGACTTCAGAGGCACAGGACAGCATATGAGAGACTCTTTTAATTGTCATAGAAGACAATTTTACTTTTCAATTGTTTGAACCGTACTGATATATGCTTTCACTCTTTTTTGCTGCAAATTCGTTTTTCAAGTAATGCAAAAAGAGATTACCGCCAATTGTGTTTAATATTTTTTATTCAAAGCGCGGAAAGTTATTTTGTCATAAAAATTTTAATTAACATACTGCTTTCATCACACTGTAATATCAAATTAAAAATATTTAAATTTTAAAAATAGTTTAATTTAAAAGGTTTGGAATGGCTTCACAAGGAAAATACTAAAAAATAAGAAAAAAATGAAATCCAACGGTGAAGCAGAAACCACGTATGGCACAAAACTAGAAGTGACAGGTGACAAGACAGGGACCCTCTCTCTCTCTCTCTCTCTCTCTCTGTGAGTTACGAATCTTACTTCACCGACAGCATTCGCTGTCACAGATGATATTAGGAGTTGCCACTTCCACATTCCCAAACAGCGAGCCCCCCCCCCCCCTTCGGCTCTTCACCCCCCTGCCCCCACCCGCACACCCCGGTTTCTTGCCACGTGTTCTTCCTCGCCTGAAGTTGACTGCTCCCCCATCTCGCCGCCGCCACCTCCGCCGCTTCAATTGCCCTCTTTTGACTCTCCGCCTCGACCTTTCGACTCGATTCTATCGCAGTGCGGTTCTCCTCTGCAAACCGCACATCGCTTTTTGGTCATTTTCGTTTCTCTTTCACTTTCGAATGCCATAAAATCCTTCTCATTCTACTTCATTAAAAAAATAATCATAAATTCAAGGAATATACACTTTCCACGCCTCCATAAAATATACAAGTAAAAGGTTGCGGTAATGTGAATCGTGGTTGGCATTTGCGCAACTGGTTTTTTTGGGGGGCAAAAAAACCCTTTCAAGCGAAGATCTTTTTAATTATTTTGGTAAATTAAATGAAAATTTAATTCTAACATCCATGATATCATGTTTGTAAAATTTTATGTAATTTTATATTATATATTAGTTTATAATTTAGATGAATCAATTTGATACAAAACGATTAACATGAAAAATGAAATCGATTAATATCTTATATTTAGGATAGAAATAATATAAATGATTAAACTTGGTTAAATTTTTCAAATTTTAATTAGCTTAATTTTTGTCTTAGCACAAAATCAGCAAATGATTTATATATTATTTTTCTGATTCTAAATATAAGAGTCACCTAGAGAGTTAATTTTATTTTAATATAAAATCTTAATCTATTTTATTTATTATGTTTATGCATTTCTTTTTAAACTAATTAATCTAACTTACAAATTAATATATAATCTAATATTAGAATTAGTACATATTTTAAAAGGACCGTGTCATATTTATTAAAATTAAATAATTATTTACTTTTCTTAACATATTCAAATTTAAATTAAGTAGCTTCTACTCGGAGGACTATTGGTTTACTGAACACCATCAAAGCAGCAGCACATAACAATTTGACAGACTTTCTGACAGATCAAACTTCAGATAATTTTTTTTTTCCAAAAGAGTTGGGGGAAATGGCCAAAAAAAAAACTACTAAAATAAAAAAATTACACACAAACTGGTTTGTAAAAAATATTATCAAAATCTATATTATTATTATCAAAACCGATATTAATATTATCACTAGTCCTTATTTATAATTTTTTTATTTCAGCATCTTTTTTTTATTTTTTCAAATAGTTGGCCCATATTTGTCTGATATATCAAAATTGGATGGAATTTCCTCCAAAAAGTATTGACTTGGTGCAACTTGGGAATCAAATGAACATGGTCAACTTCTACAGTTTCCACATATAATTTCTTTCTTCTTTCTTTTTCGTTGAGGCCGAAAAAAACACGGAGACATAAATTTCTTGGGGCAATAATTTCGACGACATAGAGTCAATGTTTGCAATTATTTATTTGTATTTCCTTCGAAGGGCATCCGGCTTGAGTATAAAGCAACTAAGCCAACTTTGTATGGTGTTTAATTTGTTGCGCACACGCATGCATATGATGAAGGAAAAAATAAATTAAAACAATATTTTAGAAAAATTAATATACATTTCTAAAAAAATAATTAATTTAACTAATTTTTTATATTCATGGTAAAAAAATAATTTTTTTAATATTTTTTGTTAGAATGACAAAGTACATACATATACGTGCCTAGCTGATTAATTATACATAGGCGCTTTCAAGTTTTTGCCTGTTTGTGACACTGAAAGTTGAATTAATTATTTTGATATAAAAAAAGAAAGTTGAATTAATTATTTTGATATGAAAAATAAAGTTTAATTAATTATTATATACGCGCTTGATATTTTAGACACAAAGGTACATATAATGTATATATATATGTGACACCCACACACACGTAATAATGAAGGTGAAAAAAAACATCATCATAAATATATCTATACATGTAATTATAGCGAATGCGGTGTACATTTGCATGAAATGTAATTAAGATGAACTGTAATATTTATGGTTTATAAATAATGTGGTTAATATTTTTTTTAATATTTTATGTATGTGTGTGGTACCTTAGCCATAATAATAACATGACAGTGACTCTTAATTGAATCATATAGTTTTACTTAAGAGTATGATTACACTGACCCTTCTTCTTTTTCTGTCTCTCCTTTTTCTTTTTCTTTTTCCTTCTCTTACTTTTTATTCAATTGAGACCCCACTCCATAAAGATCTAAATCTCTCCCCAATCTGATCTACAGCAGATTCAAAAATAAAAATGATTAAGACACACCTAATCAAGTTCTTTCCTGGGTCAATTTCATCATATGGATTTTATAAAAGGATATATATATCTTGTGCTTATCACAATAAGAAAAAAGTTGTATTTGTTATGCAAAAATTAAAATATATTACTTCCGGTCTTTAATATAAGAATTTATTTAACTTATATTTTGATCATAAATATAAGACTGCACTCCATTTTGTCTTTGATATTTATCCATTTTTTTCAAGATAATCTTGTAATAATGATAGTTCTAATCAATATATTTGATTAGTAAGGATATTTTTAGAAAAATAATATCTATTTATTACAAATAACTAACATAACTAATTTTTTTAATCTTTTCAAGTTAGTTAATTAGCTCTTATATTAAAGATCGGAGGTAGTATAACAATATCAATGTATCAATCTATGTAATGAAATTTATAATAAACTTAACTTCTTAATTAAGTCACAAACAGCATTATTTGTTTATATTATATTTTTATTTTTATTTAATAGTTTAAAAAATGTTTTTCAATTATGTATAATACTTTATTAGCATTCATTTTTGTTTTATCTTTCTTATTTTTCAAATTTTACAAATAAAACCTTCAGAAGCTTCTTACACTTGTGAACCTCTCATTCCCCACACCCCCCCAACACACACTATTAATTTTTTTTGTTTTCCCACCTCTCTCTGTTAATTTTGTGCATCATCAAATGACAAATGATATATGAAAGATGGGAAAAAAAAAATCATACCACCATTGGTTTAGAGTTATGAAAACAAAAGATTGAAAGAAAGCATATAAATAATAAAACTATCAATCTAAATTTAAATGGAATAAAAAACATATAAATAACGTCTACCAATCTAAATTTAAATGAAATAGAGATATACCAAATAATCCGCACATGAAATAATAAAAATGGAAATCAGGGTTCTGAGATCTGGACATTACTTCATGAAAAAGAATGGAATAAACGAATATCAGGCGCAGCTGTTTTCTCTGGTCATAGAATAGAGAAGAATTAACAACCGACTAAATCCACCAAGGGATTGCGCTCAAAGACAAAGACGAAGAATATTGTTGACTTGTGTTAATGCTTTATCAGCAAGCCTTCATGCATGTACACTAATTTCCCATGTGTGTGGCCATATTTATATATATATATATATATATATATATATATATATATAGTGATGTTTGAAAGGAATTCATGGGCTAATGAAAAGTCCATTCTGCCCCTCTCTCCCTTCATGATTATGGAGCCACTCCTCCACTATATCCCAAAACCCTCAAAGCCTTTCCACACACTTGCTTGCTTTTAAGACCATCCCTCTAGAAAAGTTGGTGTTTTTCCTTTCTCTCAAGACTCTCCATAGCTTTGCTTTTCCTTTTTTCGCTTTCTCTCTTAATCCATGGACACAGCTCAGTGGGCACAGGTACACAGACCCCCCTTTTTCTGTTTTTTTTCCATGCATATAATCATGAATTTTTCTTCTGGGGTTTGTGATTTTCAAACATATTTTTAATATATACCCCAAGCTTTGGGTTTTGAGATTTATTTTGATCACTAGTTGTTCTGAGTGAAGTTTTACCTTTTCCCCAACTTTTTTCAAAATCTTCATGAGATGATGTTGTTTCAGCCACTAAATTCAATTTTTGTTGCTGTCTTTTTAAGATCTTTCGCTCATTTTTTTCCCTGTTACTGAAAGTACTGCACCTTTCTTTTTCCCTTTATTTTCTTCTCCTTCTACCATATCTGATGAAAAAGGACCCAGGAAAAGCTAACGGAATTAATTTGTTTGTATTGCCATAGCTGATGCTGTTGTAAATAATCCTCGTCAAAGTGTAAAGCACTAGCAGCAAAATTCTTTGTTTTGCTTTATTTTTGTTTGTTTCTTCCTCCTCCTCTTCCTCCTTCTGCTATCTTATTTTAATTCTCATACCTTAAAGATTACATATGTGTTCAGTTTAATTATGGCCTAGTTGTCCTCATCATCCTGTCTTGTTATCTTTATGGAATCCTCAATTAATTTTGTTATATTTGTTAATTTTTCAGGGGAATATTGGATTGGTTAAACCTATGGAATTAGGTTCAAATCCAAAGCCTCCTATGTTGGAGAAAAAGGCAAGGCCTCAGAAAGATCAAGCCTTGAACTGTCCACGGTGCAATTCAACCAACACCAAATTCTGCTACTACAACAACTATAGCCTCTCTCAGCCCAGATACTTCTGTAAGACTTGCAGAAGGTATTGGACTGAAGGTGGCTCTCTCAGGAATGTTCCTGTGGGTGGAGGTTCCAGAAAAAACAAGAGACCTTCTTCTTCTTCATCTTCTTCAGCAGCACCAAAGAAGCTTCCAGAACCTTCTCCTCCGAACCCCACCAGCAACAAGATCCATCAAGCCCAGGATCTTAACCTGGCATACCCAACACCCCCATCACTCCCTCCACAACCTGAGATTTCCGGCAGCTCAAATTCTTCGAGGGGTTTGATGAATTCCTTGATGCCCATGTCGGTTTCATCAGATGGAGGCATGATGTATAACAGTAATAGTAATTCAGCCCATCATGGGTTTCCTTTGGAGTTCAAGCCTCATCATCAAGGGCTTAATTTTAGCTTTGAGGGGTTTGAGAATAATGGGTTTGGAAGTGGTCTTCATCAGGGAATGCAATTGGGTAATTCTGCTGGTGGCGCAAGGATCTTGTTTCCTATTGAAGATTTGAAGCACGTGCCAAGCACCACCCCTAGTCATGAGTTTGATCAGCAAAATACTAGAGGAAGCCATGGAGATCCGAGTGGGTTTTGGAATGGCATGTTAGGTGGAGGAGCATGGTAGAGAAACAGGAATTCTTTTGTATCCTACAGTGTATATGTACATGGAATGATCATGGTTTTCACGATCTGATGCATTGACCTCATCATTTCACATGCATAACACTGTATAGTACTTCAGAATTTCTTTTACCGGGTATATTAGAAAAGGATAAGAGGAGGAGGAAAGGTGTAAAAAGGAAAAAAAAGAAAAGAAAAAAAAAGGGTGAACAAGGAAGGTGGGTGCTTTTGGACTTTGCTTACTTTTTTCTTCTCCTTCATCATTTGGTGAGTGACTGTTTTGGAGTGATCATCAGAGAAAACCACTAACAAATAGGGTACATGGCTTTTTTCTGCTTTGGTTCTTCTTCTTCATCAATGATCCATTCCATTTTAATTTGTTCTTTCTCTTGAAGGCTTTGGTGATGATCTCTAGCTAGGTTTGATAAGAATTTGATCCCTGAAGAATTAATGTGGATGCACATGGAAGCTTCCTTATAATTCCCTTTTAGATTAACCCATATATAATATCTTGTTTGATTCTTGGCTTACCCTACACAAGAACTCTAGCTAGCTACTTCCTGATGAGCTTCATCAACCTCAGACCAAAATGGGTCAACATCAGTCTACACGAATACTATTTATATATATATATATATATATATATATTCTGCTGCAATTATTGTCATGATCGATCAGGTTTGAAGAGATAGAATTTTCGTAGATGCATGGATCAGAAAATATAAGCTGAGAGAGATCTTAGTCGGTGTGCAGTTTAATATTGTTGTTTTTAAGTAGGGCTACTTGATTACTATATTTCCCAGGTTAGTGCCCATTTTATTTTGTATATTGTAACTAAGGGATTTAATTATATTTATGGTTAATCTTGGTTTTGGTTTTACAAATTGATATCATAATTATTTAATTAGTTAACTAGTGTGTGTGTGTGTGTGTGTATACTTAATTTTGGAACATAAAGGTGAGGTGGAATGATGGCTGTCAAATCCTTTACAGCAAAAGTGGTGTCCCTCCCTTACTATATCTTTCCCTCTTTCTCTCTTTTTCGTTTCTCTTTTGCTTTTGCTTGCCAACAACAGTTGAGAAAGTGTCAGATTTATATATCTTTAATCAGTCAGTACCCTCTTTCGTCTTTTAGATTCTTCCAACCCCATTAATAAAGCACCCATCTCATCTCACCGCCAAAACCCGGCAGGATCTAACAACAATGGTACCTTAATAATAATGCCTTTGTAATTATTAATACCCAATTCTAGCCATCTCAGCCGCTCGATCAGTTCAATTTACAAACACATCAAAGAAACTAATTAAATTCCAGTTTTCTTTTACGTATGCTTTTTTCCTTTCTATACGACCCCATTGCATATATGTAAGGGACTGCTGACAATAAGAAAACCCTAATGGCTAACTTCAGCGTTCACTTTCTGAGAGCCTTTTCTTTAATTTCCATCTCTTGAAACACAATCAATTAATAATGGAACGAGAAGCGGAAGAAAAGCAATAATAAGAAGGTGTAGAGTTAACTTTTGGCTGAAAAGTGAGTGGGTTTCCATGATCTCGCCCGCTGGATCATAATGGTCATTCATTAATATATTACTGTGTTTGGCTTTCTGATTGAAGCGCATTTTGCTCCGTTTGCATAAATTATAAGTCACTGTATATCCTCACATGGCCCTTTTCTTTTTTACTCTCTTTTATTTAAAGCCCCACACACACACACACACACACAGATGCTCGAGATAGCTTGGTATAGTGTCTCACCTCCTTTCCTGCGGGTCCCGCAAAACATTCCTCTTGGTAACGGTGCAGGAATAACATGCTCCACTCTGCAACAAAGTCCTCCATAGATACGACTTTGAGTTCCTTTTATTATTATAAAATATAATATTATAATTAGATCATCCTGTAGATTCCATCGATATATAGACAGGTAGATATATAGTGGCTTCGTTGGTTAGGTTTTTCTGGTCCAAGCCTTAATATAAAATCTTGGAGGTCTCTTTCTCTTGCCAAACACCCACCTTTTACCTAGTGAAATAGGTTTTGGTATGACGAGTTTATATATATTTATATATGTAATCGTTTAAATGACTTGACCGATCTGCTATGTTTTTAAATTATCTTCAGGTTTAGGGTTCAATTATAATAGAGCAAGCTATTTTGTCTGGATCAAGCCGGGTATTTACAACAAACGGAGATAATTTTCTTGGAAAAGTTAAGGTTATAACGCATAATCACGATGAACTAAATTTTCATTTGGATTTGCGCCGCTATGATATAGAGATCTTAGGTACCAGAAAAAAGCTCAAGTCTGTCTCCTATCTATTTGTTTTTTAGGGTTTACTGTAAGCCATGGTTTCAGTATTCTTAGAACTAAAAAACATTTATCATGGACGCACACCAAACCCTAGAACTTTATTAATTATATTCCCCTGCCTCTCCTAGGGTTTCCAATATCTTTGAATTTGGTTTTCGGCTAGACATAAGCACGATCAAGAGCAGACTAAGGTTAATAATTTCTTTCAAACAGGTTTTTTACACAACTCAAACAACACTGTATATACTCAGTACGTTGGAAATTCAATAAATGACAAAGTTAACTAAAATGTCCAAATATTTATTATTTATTTTTTATAAGATTTTAAAAACTTTTTTGGAGTTAAATTTTATCCTTGGATTAATGTATAAGAATACACACGGATGATCAGTTTTATATTAAGTGCTAAAATTATTTGTCAACTATATATATCTATATATGTCAAATTCAATCATGAATCTTTTTAAATATATATTGTGGGATTTGAATAGTGCACCATGCGTACTAACTTGTTTATTTCTTAATTTGAATCATAGCTATAGAATTGTGACACTATACCTTTTTCCCATTCTCCATAATGAATTACCAAAAAATATACATGGATTTGATGTATGTAGGCATCGGATACACCAAACCCTAGAGTCGATCTTTCAGGGTTCCATTATTGGCTATTCCCAATCATAATTAATGGCCTTAAATTAGGGTTTCCCTCTGCACAATTCTTAACCCTAAGTAGCAGAAAGACTAACTCTTCAAATATAGCTGCGGGTCCATAAAAGTGCAAACCAATTTCAAATTTTTCAAAGCCAACCCATGCTATGAAATACGTATCATGGAGATCAGCTTGACATAATCTGTTTGGCTACTTTTGGCAAGGTGAGTTATATATATATATATGTAACACTCCCTGAAAAAATAAAGATGCTACTAAATTCATCCTTAGCATAGGGCTGCCATTAAATAGTAACAATCGTGTTTGAGTCTGATGAAGTTCATGCATGCATATTATTCTCCCGGTCCTTAATATAAGACCCATTTAACTAATTTGATTAGATTAAGGAAGTTAGGTAAGTTAGTTAATTATAAGAAATATGACACGTTTTTTCTAAAATACCATAATCATATTTCTTAATACCCCATCTTTTTCTTCTACTTGATTAAGGTTGAAAGAGTATCTATAGGGGTAATTTAAAGATAATTGATAAATATGAGAAATGGGTCTTATATTTAGGACCAAAATCAACTCACCAATTGGGTCCTATATTAAGGACCGGAGGAGTATCTTTAATAGTGATGTTACAATAATAATAATGGGCTCGCATCATTAACTTATTATATTGTTTCAACAATTCAAATAATAATATTGAACTATATATATAGCTTTAATATTAATGGATGTGAGACTTTAATAATTTTTGTAAGTGCTGAAGGGCTTTAAAAATGATTAGTTGACTGTCACGTTATGTTACATTTCAAGCATGTTGTACCAAAAGAGAAATAAATGAGAGTGGGGGAGAGAGATCAGTTTGAATATTAACTTTAGAATTCTTGATGTTATAAACATACCAATAAGTGGAGGATAAAGAGTTGGCTAAATCAATAGGATGGGTATACAAACAGAAACAATGTGGATATCATTTCCTTTTAATAGGAAAAGAAAGATTTCTCTCATTTATAACTAAATTTGCAGTCTTTTGTATAGTCTCGCAAATGACTTTAATGGTGAAAGATGATATCTTCTTATACAAGAAGTCTCTTCCATACACATATAATACTTGGCGGATGTGTATGTGTGCGCTTCCTCTCACTGACCCTTTTTTTTAAAAAAAAAAAAAACCAAAATGAGCAACGCAGGGCTGTGATCTTATACATGCATAGTATATATCTTGGAAAGGCAAGAATACAATGAAGCACTGCCGAAACTGAAAGGAATGGCCGGGGGAAAAAAACTCTCGAAGAATCTAAGCGAAACTTGTTAAAATACATGGACTGACCATTTTAAAATAGAATTGAATTTACAGGTGTCAATATTGTTGATTTCTAACCCAGAACTTGCTTCGAGATTTTTGTTTGTTGACATATCGAAAACCAAGAGATGCATAGACATCGTAGAGTTCCCTGCCTGCTTTGGGTCCCCTTCTAGAAGTGATTTACAACTAATTATATGTTGAGGTTAATTGTTATGAGTTTTAAAAGCTGTGTAGATGTCTACGTCCCTTCTCCTCTTTGTTTTTTTTTTTTTAAGTAACTCTCATTACTCCTCTACCATTTTATTAATCTCATTACTTCACTATCTTATAGTTTACAATAGGGCTGCATATTTCTATTCTTGTCCTTTTCCACCCCAGGCCCCCGTATGGGGTATAAAGGTAACTCCATCCTCACCTCCCGCGGCACAGAAGGCTTCATCATCATTTGTTATTTATTAATGTTACGAGTCTGCAATGGCTCTTTCAAATTGAATAATGAATCCAAGACGTCAAGACAGGTATTCTTGGCTTACTTTTATGGATCGGTCAGGCCCAGCATAACTTAGACAAGAATAACAAGTAACGGCCCAGTGTGGGCGGCTCTCAAGCTGTAAGGCCCAAAAAAGAAGAAAAATGCCGGGCCTAGTTTGCTAACCATTGCCCAGAGACTCAATATTTTAACTGAGTTTGTTCAACGGTGCTGAACAGAAAAATAAAGTTTGAGATTTCAATATAAAATATCTGTAATTTTAAGATTGTAAAATATAAATTTTGCAAAACTGGAAGGCAGAGGCTTTGGATTATATTTGAGTTCGTTGAGAAAGACGGAAAGGCGTTGTCTCTAATTATGGCCGTCAAAAAGGAACGCATCACTTTCTCAAGACGCCAGTGCCAAATGGCAAATGCTCTCCTAATTCCATGTTGAAGGCCGAAGCAAGCATGAAGGCTTTGTGGGCGAGTGGCATTGCATCTTCAGGCCATGAATTTTGCTTCTGTAAAATGAATACTATATAACTAATTTACAGATATTAAAAAAATTAGTTGAATTATTTATAACAAATATGTTTTGATTTTTTCTAAACTGCCATATTTAATCATATATATTAAATTGTCCCTTGATTGGAAGCCTTTTTAATATATACAATTAATAGGGACAATGTGAACAAAAATTATAAATTTGGGGAGCAAAATAGATTGAGTTGTTATATTTAAGATCAAAATGAATCTATGGTCTAACTTCTACGTTTATAATCAAATTAGTGTCCTTTATGAACTCCACACAAATAAGGCAGAGCATAGAATACAAAGATTTATAATTTTAAAATGATAAATTCTCCAAATAAAAATCGTGCGGTACCTATTTAAATTGAGCCCGCGCAAAAATGGCCCTTGCAGCATCCACTACGGCTCCAGCTGACTGTAAAATATTTGCCCTTTGTTTCATTTGACGAGGTAGAACCACAAAGGCAGGCCATGGGGACATAGCACATGAAAATAATGGAAAGACAAAATCCCGTGTATTTGGCTTTTATGTTGAAAACCATTATATAACTATGGTCTGGCGATTTTCAACATAAAGCTAAACGCACTCTGAAGAAAATATAATGATAGCCCCACAAGGAATAAGGAACTCCTCTATTGGTGGTTGGAGGGTCGCAATGAGCAAGTAGCCTGTTGTAATCTGTAATGGCATGTAACCATCATGTAAGAACCAGCCTGCCGAAGTTGGCAAGGCAACAATAACCAATATACGTTGGTCTGAAGGTCTTATATTTAGGACCGGAGGAGTATTAATTGATTCAATAATTGGGAGGCTTTTAGACTTTTCGGACGATATGATCCTTGGAGAGTTCGATCACTCTTTAAAGCCAGACAACATATTTCAAGGAACAGAAGAAGATAAAGCTAGCAAATACACAATTTTATTAACAGGGAACAAATTCATCATATCTTACAACTTTTAGTCACAACACCAGAAAATAAAAGAAATTGGATAAACAATGGCAGATTTAGAATGGGTGAGAAATTCCTGTACAAGACGGACATCATGAAGCATGAAATAATCTACTTCCAAGGCTGGAATGAATGGATTAAGGAGCATCAGGGAATGCTATATATACTACCAGTTCTCCCTCACGATTTTTGACTTCTCAAGGATGAACTTCCCTTCCTTGTACTTCTGCGATGCTTCATAAGCTCTTTCATACTTCCAACCCAACACTTCACGGCAATCACCACAATAAACATCAGCAACTGTGTGCAGTCCAGTCAGGAGATGCCTGTCTTCTTTTGGCCCTACGACAATATTCATTGCATGGGAGAACAGAAAAGCTCTGCCATTTCTTCCCTAATTTTAAAATTAAAGAAAAGAATATTGGACAATGATATGGGAAAGTTTCTGAGAGGCTTAAAAATGAAAACGCATGTTTAAATACTAAGTTTATCAACCCAAATCCCAGTAAGAAAGGACAGGGGAAATTGAAATTCCTTGGGATTGCTTCGATTTTGAAACATGCAGCACCTTATGATCCAAAGAAAACATATTTTGCAATCTTCATGAAAATTTGAAGCACCATTCATTTTCAACACCTAATGGCCATTGTAATAACTAACAACAAAGAAAGGGCTGGTCAATTATATAGTATAATGCTTGTATCTTGAGAACATTAATAAACAAGGTAAAGGCTGAAAATCAGCCACTCTCCTCAACAATATTTCATCCTCCTTTTAACACTGCCAACCCACCACATCTGTATCACTGTTTCCAGCAAACAGCACCCTCACTAAAGAAGTCATCATCATAACAGCTATATAACAACAACAATTGTGACTCTCAATGACACCAGACATCAACAGTCACTGCCACTTTTCAAGCATCATCAGAAAAGCCCCAACTGTCCGGCAAGAGGAACTGTGCGTGATTGTCAATACCACCAGTCATTGATCGCCACAGTCACTAACACTTTCTACCTTCTCTAGTATCCATAAGCAGACTTACCGCAACCACCGTCACTACTCTATCACTTTCACCACAACCTATGCAGGATTTCTAATTCCATTTCAGTAAAACTTAAGCAGCACTTTCATCTACGTTTCCAAGCATATAATCATACTGCATCAAACTTGGACTATCAGATGATAGGTTCCATGAACACTGATTAGTCAGATAGTCAGTAACTCTATCGTTATGAAACAAATTCTTTAGCATCGTACTATTTAGGTAAAAATATAGGAACAGTCCCAATATGAATCCTAAGACTGAAAATGAAAACCAAACTCTTGCAATCTTCAATATCTGGTCTGAGACTATTGTAGTTTTTAATGGTTCTAAGAAATCAACCATATTCAGGTTCAGAAGTGGGCTCTAGACAAACTACACCACAGATTCTGTGGTTGACATCATTTCCATAGAACGACAACATTTTTCCAGTCTTGATTCCTGAAATCACCAAGAACCATTCCTATCACGTTACTTTTTCTAACAGTAGATCATAAGTAACTCCGAACACATCAAATTCTGATACCTCTTTACTTATGAGGAGGATGGAAGGGAGGATTTGGGGCAGTGACGGACACAGGGGGGTGCTTCACCCCCAGCCCTGGTTCAATTTTCAAATTTTTTGGAATTGAAATGTCAGTTCAGTGAAATGAGAACAAAATATTATACGTTTGACGTTTATCAACATCTTGGTTTCAAAAACATACCAATAACCTCGTAATTTATCAATGGAAGGGGAAAAACAGATCTTACACATATTGTTTAATTTATCATTTGCTTTACTTGTTATTGACTCTTAATTCAAGTTTTAGCAACAAGTGATCGATCATTTTTAACTATGAATATCACAAGAAAAAGCTTGACAAGGGGATAGAAAATTATTTTCTTGCAAATTACATCGTTATTCATAAATAAAGGAAACACTACTGAGAAATCTGAGACATACTCAATTATTGATAAAGTTTGACAAGAAAGAACATCATGCTTATCTTATTACAGCATTACATGTTACGTATATACTTTTTAACCTAAAACTTCTACATACAGATATCAACATCTTCCACTTGTTGCCTCCGAGGTGAGGAGCAACGAAGTTGAGGAGCAACGAAGGGGAAAAGAAAATTCAAGAAGTGATATGTTACAAGCGATAGCTGCAAACAAACCCAGAACAAGAGCAAAAAGAAGGAAGCAGCAAATGTGATATGCAAGATGAAGTAACAATTTGATTAGAAATCAGGAAAATTCACATCCGGGGGTAAAATCCTTCGCTTAAAGCTATTAAAAAAAGGACAGACTAAACAAGGAAAAGATGCCTCACCTGAAAAGCCTTGGAAATTATATCGTCGTGGAGTGAAACTTGGTTTCTACAATTACAACAGCTGTACAACCTTGGACCGATCTGTTCCGCCATTAACTCTCAACAGTTTCCTATCAAACAACTCGCAAAATATCAAAATCACGGTTATTTAAGAGAACAACCGTTGATCAGATACACGGTATGGATTATAAATTAGAATAATTGACCAGAACGTAAACCAAGCAAGGGAAAATAATAAATTCTTTACCTCCAACAAGCTCAATGATGACCCGAAATTCTGCAACAGCAAGATAGGAAGAGAAAAGGGAGTTAGCGTGCAAGATTAGGCTAAAGACGATCACAAAGTTGAGTACAGATTCCCATTTAAGATGTTAGGAGTTTTAAATAGAAAAGGTATACACATGGGTCAGATAAAGACACGGCCGCTACAAGTGTAAACAACACGACCGCTGTCCCTAGATGAAAACAAAAATGATCGAATAAAATAACAGCCACTTCGAGAAAATTTAAAAATAAAAAGAAACTATTTGGATTAGAATCCTGTAGCCAAAAAAACCGAGAAAGATCAAGAAAGAGAAGAGAGAGAGAGCGGCACCGTTGACGAATGCAAGTTGCAAGTTAATGGGATCTAAGCTGTTGAAAGATAATAAACAAAAAATACCCTACTTGGTTTGGTGGTTCAAAGTAAAACATAGGTAAATTAACTGCAAATCGGGATAAGTCGCCATCACTTCATTGAAGAATGAATCGAGAAATTCTGCTTTGATTATTTGACCCAATGATAATCAGAAGCATCAGAAGCACTACTGAAGAAGATTCGCTAGTATAAGAGAGGAGGAGGAAGAAGAAATAGAGGGGCGAGTTCCTACTAGCTCTCAAGGCTCACTGACCTGGCAAGTCTGAGACTGAGTCAGGGCTCTGTTCCATGGAGGAATGGTGATGAGAACTGCTATCAAATAATTTAGAGAGAGAGAGAGAGAGACAGAGACAGAGACAGAGACTGTGTGTAGTTTTTATTTTATTATTATAATTATTATTTTTGTTACTATTATTTTACTGGTATTATTATTGAGTTGGTTAGATTGGGGAGGGAACAACACGCGCCTGAACCAGGGCGTTAGGAACGCGCGAAAAGGAAAATACGTTACGGAAACGCTCAGAAAGGGGTCTTCGCGAAAAGGTCATGCACCGCAGACGCAGCGGCTGCGCCAGATCCCCCGAAAGAGAGACGAATTGAATAATAATTTAATTTTATCAATAGTAATTTAATTTAACTAATTCTTCAGCATTATTTTTGTTCCACTCTTTTTTGAGCTGAATTTTTCCTCCGCTCTAAGTTTGTCCAAAATCAATCAAAATGATTTTTTACTTGAAATGGTTATTGATTGATGTATCACTCTCGGATCATATACGAGATTTAATAAAACGTTAAAAATAAAGATATGTATGGGAAATAAAAACATTATCTATGCCACTATAAAATTCAAAAAACAAAAGTTAAATGCTTATATCAAAACAAGTTGTTTTATTGAGTCAATTCATTTTAAGAAAATCTGAGTCGGAAGGTAAATTGAAAGTTTGCCTAACCGATTCCCCCCCCCCCTCGAGGAATAAACTCGAGCTAATAGGGAATTAAGTTATGGACTTCACAGGGACCCACATCCAAATTTTCACTCAAAGGTACTCAATTTTTTGTTGAATTTCAATGGGTTGGTGGCCCATAGATTAACAGGTGTGATTATGGGAACGAAGAAACAATAACATCTTGGTTAAGCCTTTTTAGGTCATATTTACTATATAGAATGCTATGTGCATAATTATATATAATGTATAAAAATAAGCATCATGCTCTTCATTAGAAAATGGTAGAAAAGATAAATACTGGTTAATAAAAATAAAGGTGTAATGGACATTAATATTAATACAAATTAAAATCTGTAGATTTATATAACATCCTTATCAGCTCTTATATTAAAAAGTATATACTACCTCATGTTCTAATTATAATTTCTCATTTATAAATGAGATCTTATAATTCGGATTAGAGATAATATCAAATATAACTTCAGTCAAGGGTCAAAATTTCAAAGTCCATAGCTTGAATAAATGGGTGGGGAGCCAATTTTCAACACCCACTAGCCAAAAGCCTTACGATGCAATTTTGTTTTCTTGTTCGGCTTTTCCTATATGGTATGCGATTTTTAATTCTCAAGGGGTTAGATTTTATTTTATGAATATTTTCCATAAATTTAAAACAATGTTACTCTTATAAATTTGACTAATTTTATGAATTTAAGATTTTGCTAGTAAAAAGAGGAGTAACAGTTCGGTACAAATTAAATTATACTTTTTTGCAATAAATATTCTCTTTAAAATAAATTTTATTGTTCTAGACTTGCTGTCGTTATAATTTACTGATTATTATAAAATGATTTTATATTTGGGATGGGGTGAGATAAATCAAAGAAGGATGAGTTTAGTTGGGTTTCAAAACGAATATATGGCAACGGATTGGTTTGCTTGGCAAAGCATGAGGTTGCCAATAGGGTTGCACAAAATGTCTGCTCCTCCAAAAGGGATGGAAGAGCACTTGCACGAGCATTTAGCCAAAACAAAGACAAAGTAGTGTCTTACACTACTACTTTTCATATACTCTTTTACAGTTTACAGCTAGAGATTGTTTTAGGGTTTAAATGTAGTTAAATTCATCTTTTATAATCTAATGGTCACTTCAAACAAATTATGAATTTTGGCTAAATTAAACTTTCTTGTCATGCTAGAGAGGATAGTAATTAACTCTTACGTTTTTTTTTATAGACTAAATTTCAGATAAGAGATTAGATTCACCCACAAGCTAAAAGCAAGAAAACTAACTCATGATCCACAAAGACTGGTCTCAATAGAAATGTGCATGCACCCGTTAATCCTGACCCTGATACTACTCCTACTTTACTTAGCTGTGAATATGTCTCTCCAAGTACTGTGACGATCTTAGAAATTGAACCCTCTCCCTTTGATAAGATAAGAGTGTGGCTTCAAGAGTTCTATTTAATACCTGTATTAATTGACTGGTTCGTCACGTTCATGACATTAAAGATTATTTCAAGAGATAGTATAGGAAATTATAATCTAGAATGTATTATGACCAGCTTCTTTCTCCCGTAATTAACTTTTCCCGTTGTGATTTTTCAGAGCATCCGCTTTTGATGTTGGAAATTTTTTTTTTCCTTCCAATACTTAATTGCAACTTAATTCTTGAACTTAAACCGTCTACGATTCAGTTTTGATATTTTTCATTCAATTAAAACTTAATTTTCAAACTATTTTTAATTTTATCTAAATTTTAATTCACCACAACTAAACTTGTATAGTTTTAGCCATTTAAAACTTCAATGCCCAAATTTAATGAAACATATGATTTTATTTTCTAAAACACAAGGATCAATATCTTAAATATTCAAGTTACAGGAATTAGATTGCATCTGAGTTCAAAGTTTAACAATTGAATTATAATCAAGCCATAACCATAAAAATTAAATCGCACCCTCTGATTTTTCATTGCAACGTGCGTACAAAGTGCCTGGCGCATGTGGGCACGTGACACGTGTGTACGGATACATGGCGATAATTGAACATCACACATAAAAATGGAAGACAATATACACCCGCATCTACGTATGCGCGCGCGGCTGCCATATATTTATTGAGAGGCAAAGGAGCGTGCAGTGATAATGATGCCACACGTCACGCGAATAAAGGGGCAACTTTCACCAAATATACTATCTTCAGTCCTATTTATAAGATTTTGTTTATATCGTTTGTATAAACAGAGTCTTATAAATAGGATTGAAGATAGTACTACATTATTTAATCATTGGTGTCTATTTTTAAAACATATTATCACACGGTTCCGTTTTAAACATAAGATATGGTTTTATATTGTAGAGATGATAATTATTATTGGAACATAGGATTAGGAGTATCCACCGTTGACACAACAGGGGGGGATATATTACATTATTAGTATTGCTTGAGGATTTTAGCCTTCTCGATGATGAACCTGCCTTCCTTGTATTTCTGGGGAGGCTCATAGGCTCTGATATATTTCCAACCTAATTCCTGACCGCAATTGGAGCAATATATGTTGGCCACAGTGTACATTCCGGTCATGAGTTGTCTGTCTTGTTTGGCTCCTTCAATGATGTTCCTAGCATGCCTGAACATGAATGCTGCTCCTGTTTTGGCCTTCATTCATTCCCCCATACCCCACATAGGTGTTAAATTAAATATAGTATTACACCCGGGCAAAAAATTATAGTATTAAAGCAGTCAATCATCCCAACTTCATTATTCTTCTGACCCTAAATATAAGATTTATTTTATAATATAAAAAATATATTTTATATTTAGAATCAGAAAAGTATTACTCCTCCGGTTCTAAATATAAGACCCATTTAACTAATTTGATTAAATTAAAAAAGTTAGGTAAATTAGTTAATTATAAGAAAAGTGACACATTTTTCCTAAAATACCATAATAATCTTTCTTAATACCCCTCTCCCTCTTCTACTTGATTATGGTTGAGAAAGTATCTATAAGGGTAATTTAGAGAAAATTGATAAATATGAGGAATGAGTCTTATATTTAGGACTAAAACTAACTCAAGAATTAGATCCTATATTAAGAACTGGAGGAGTATTATATATGAGATAGAACAGTATTTCTTGGCTTCCTATTTTCATCACGCGTAATTAAGGGTTAGGGTCTTTTAATTTACATGTCACATCACACACATTTAATTATATTGCATTGGGTGTTGTGTTTAAGCTCCACAAGGCAACGTTGCATTGCATAAGCCTCCATGCTGTCTCATACTATCTGATAATACTACTTGGCGTGCAGGATTGGTCTTTGTTGACTTCTGTACCCCTCAAATTCTTATGGCTTTATAGAAAATTCCAAATCAAACACAGTCCAACCACCCCACAGTCCCACACACCGCAATATGAGAAAAAATGCCTATATTTTAATTTTATTTATTCACAACGAAATTTTTATAAGTAAAATGACTTTTTATAAAAACATAATATAATAACTGCATGGTCTAAAATATTTGTCAGTGGCTAAAATCTAAAATAAATTAGGCTAGGGGGCCGCTTTATATTTCAAATAAAATACGCCACTGAATATGTTCTGGTTTCAAAAACTTTTATTTGTGTATCGATGAAGAGAAAGCAGATTTCAATATGAAGAACAAAAAGATTAGTGAAACCAAGATCCACAATCCCAAACCCCCCCCGGGGGGGGGGGGGAGAACTACTTCCAAGTAGCGAAGATCAGAGCCCATGGCTGCTCAATAGTTGTCAAAACTCAAGAGAGTTAAATAAAGAGGAGAGAGTTTTGTGCGGAATAAATACCCGAAAGCTTTTAGAGAGAAGGTCGCTGCGTGATGCAATGGGCGTTTGGCAGTTTCTGCATCTGAAGGAGGCAGAACCATCGCCTCCAAAATCCGCCATTGGAGTGTTGTTATTTCAAGGCAACCAATAATTTGGATCAGAGTGACCACTTTGAAGTCTGGGCACGTATATATATATGTTTATATTATGCCTATTAGTCGTTTTAGACCAACCAAAACAAGTTGCGTCTCCACCACGGCGGGTTGACAGGGACAACGCTAGGCGACGCGAAACACCATTCTTCGCTCTTTTCATCCCTCGCCCGCCACTTTGGTCCTTGGATATGCAAGCTAAGTACTATCTTCTCTTCATGTTTGTTCTATTTTCCTATCCTATTTTCTATAAACGTCATTTCCTTGGAAAAATCGGTAAATTTCAGTAAGTCATGTGAAATTTTAATTCTTTACAAATCTAATACTTTATTGTTTTCTTTGAAACCATATAATAAGTCTCTAGCATTTTTAATAGTCAGATTGCTCTAAATTCTTAAAACTGGATACGTATAACTCCGCGTATTACTCTGAATTGCTAGTTTTGTTTCTTTGTGATGTTAATAAATAAGACCGATAATCTGTGAAGTAAGAAAGCAATCAAAGTGCACTAATTTTGCCGCCGTAGTGAGAAGCATTTACTCCATTCCACAAGAAACAATATTTTCAGAATAATGTGAACTTTGCTGGTTTGAAAGACGAAAAGCCAAACAGCTACACATTAAACACGGAAGACAATAATTATGTAAAGCTTTCTTATCTCTATATCCTACTTTTTGCCTTGAAATACAGAGCAACCACTTATTAAGAAATACTAAGGTATAAAAAATGAATAAGCAAGTGGGGTTTTGAATGATATTTATTAAAAATAAGAAGACTGTTTCTCAAGTACACCCAATTGTGCAAGGACTCTGGCAGCAAGACTTCTCAAGCGACTATCTTTCCTCTGGGTTACCTCTACCAATGGCATCGTGGCTAAAGCTTTATATTTAATCTTTATTTCATCGACTAGAAATATTTTCTCTAAAGCTACTAGAATTTTTTCCACCAATCTGGCAGACTGAAGACTCAATAAATTTAACAGCGGAGTAATAGCATTTGCCTCTGCAAGTACCTTACACCCACCCGGTGGTGCTTCCCCATGAATCAAAGTCAAAAGTGCATCTAAGGAAGCTTCGCATGTTCCAATATCTTGCTCTTCAAGCATCCTCACAAGGGGCTTCAAAGCATCAGCCTCTATCATACAGAATGAAGACTCAACTGTACAGGCGCCCTGGTGTGCTGGGCAACCGGTTTCATAAGCTACGAAGCAGAATTTGAATATACCTGGCTTTTTTATAGGCTTGCTTAAGAGTCGTGAGCTTTCTGAAAACTGCTTGATTGAAATGGCTGCATGTTGTTTCGACAGAGATGTCCCGGAATCCAGCAATTGCACCAGGATAGGGATGATGCCCTCTTGAGCTATTGTCTTCTGCCACTCTACGTTTGTTGAGACAGTAAAACGGCAAAGAGCTTGAACAGAGTTCTCAATGAGTTGCCGTTTGTGCGAGGCATGTTTATGTTGATCCAAGAGACAATCCAAGATAATTTTAACTGCGCCAGAATCTAAAAGCCACTGGTTTATATGGGGTTCCTTTGGGAGTCTTGAGATGATACCCATAGCAGAAACAATCTCTTCTGCATCATCGGTAGTCCTGATGATGGTGAGCAAGACATTAATACACCTTGCAGTTACATGTGATGTAAAGTTTCTGCAATCACCGCCTTCTGTTAAGTAATAGAACAGCTTCATGGCATTTGCCCGCACAGTTTGGTTATCGAGCTCTAACAAGTGAACTAATACTTGGACAGCTGAGAGCTTCATCAACAACAACCATAAAACTTATTTTCAGTGATTTCAAGACATAATCACTTTAATCTATATGTAACATAAAACTTACAGAAAAAGCTTCATTATTCATAAGTTATGAACAGTGTGCCTTATCTTAAACTTTGTAAAGGCCAACAGTGGCAACAAATTTTCCCTTTATTGTTTCTATCTCTATTTCTCTTCAACTTGGATCTTCTATAGTCATGCAGTGACATATCAGGAGTAAGAATGATAAAAAGAGTATGAAGAGGTATGGAACCCACTTTCCTCTTTATATTCATCCTCCCTTTTCTCTCTGCGTGACCACATAAGGAGCGGCCACTTTTGTGATTTAAGTCTGGAGAGAATCTGTTCTCACACCTCATATGACATTTTACTTCCGTTCCTAGTCCCTTACTTTTTCATCTTTTTGATCCTGTTGCTTCTTTTAGTTCTAAATAGCCATGATCATATGCTTCATATACCACGACAACAAGTGGTTGTAAGCAAAGCAACAAAATATTCCACAATGATTATTATTATTATTATTATTATTATTATTATTATTATTATTATAGTCAAAGATTTTTCACCACAATCATAATGTACCCAAATCATGACTTCAGGAAAAATGCCAACCTGTCTTAACCTTTCTCTGATGGTGAGACCAGAGGGAGATTGGCACATTGCCATGAAAGTTTTCAGAATCTTGCTTTGTATATCAGGTCCTGTGAAGGAAACAAGTGAGAAGAATTTAAATACGTCATCCTCAGAATCTAACAATGAAACCTGAACTTCATCAGCTCGTTGATGAGTAGTTGACATAGCAAGATGCATCATAGTGGCAGCCGCCTGTTCCCGCAGAGTCGGTGACTGTAAACTGTGACGATATAGCAGCTCAAATAGTGATTGAGCAACACCCTCCCTAATCATATGTAGCCCATTTTCTGGCAAGCTTGAAAACTGCAGAAGAGCTTTCACAGCTATTTCCTTGATTTTCACATCAGAATTAGAGAGCAACTGAAGAAGTGGCTGCAGTGCCCCATCTCTGACTATTGATATTTTATTCTGGTCAGTCAATTCAATCTCTGATAAAGTTTTGGCCATGATTATCTTCACATTTTCTGTTCCTGCATCAAGGATATGAGCATTGACAATCAATGAGGGTCTAGTAGCAAGCCAATTCTTCATTTTTTTTTTCAAGGAAAAAGAAATGGTTTTTGCATCAATATGGCAAATGGCGAGTGTGGAATTTATGCAATACCTGAAGAAAGGTTCCGCAGCAAAGGCTTGAGGTAATTTGCTTTCGCCATCTCTATAACATTCTGGTTAAGGAAAGAGAGGTTATCCAGAAGCTCACTTGCATTGTGGTCTGCTTCAACATCATCACTGCTTAACATTCTTACCAGGAGGAGCATGCTTCCTTGAACATCACCTATGAGATCACGCACTGCAGTACTTCTAGACAATTCTAAGAGCAACTCCACTGCTAGCTTGCTTTCCTCTATTTGACGTGCAAGTGAGCGAACAATTGATTCTAGTGCATTATCAACTTTAGCAATATCTTCCTGCACAAGAGAAGCATTGCTATTCACATGAAGCCTCACAAAATAAAGTTCACTGTTTATAATTAACAATAGTTTGAAAATATTATACCTTATTCTCTTCGTTGTCCTTTGCAAGCAAAGACAGGATGGAGAGAACACGCTTTCTTATTTCTCTATTCTTAGCACCGAGGAGCTTGATCAGAGTTGTGATGTAATTCTCCATTTTTACCCATTCCCGGTGCATCTGTCTTTCCAAGCAGAGGCCCTGCAATTTTTCCAAGGATTTAAGCATTTCCTCTTCATCATCACTCTCAAGTTTGGACTTAAGAGCCGAAAGGGTAATAATGGTGTTCCTATCTTTCCATTCTTGAATTGACTGTCGAAGAGTCTTATTAGGTCTTAATTTTGAAGCATCCAGAGGCAACATGGTTAAGGGACAGTTGTTGTTCCCTTCTGCAAGCCACTTCTCTATTGCCTTTCTCTCAAATGTCTTGCCGGAAGAAGTCTCCACAGGATCTTCCATGATATCAAGTGAGATTGGACAGTAAAACGAATGCAACGGCTCCAACAGTTGTCGTCCCAGGGAGTTTCGCTTTTCAAAATACCTCTTCTCCTTATCTTGTGATGAAGTAACGGAATCAGCTTTTTCAAGCAATCCAACAATCTGCTCCATATGGAGAGCTTCTGCTATATCTCTTCTGGACGCGGCAATTTGCATGTCACCTTTCAACTCTTTAAATTCTCTCTTTATAACAGCATGCTCAGTTGAGATCCCAATGACATCCACAATACGAGCTAGCAACTGATTTGCATGAGATCGCTCAGCATTTCCTTCTTGTATTGCTAACTCAAGTTTCTCCAGAATTTCCTCTTCTGCTGCAGTTACTCTGTACTCATCATCTAACATGTTCTGGCATAGCTCACTTATTTGTTTACTTAGACCAGAAGAAACATCCAAAGAGGTGAGGGGGATGAGGCTCACTGCTCGGCTTATGTTTTTCGTACAACACTCCAAATTCTCAGCAATCTTTCTGCAACTGATCAAAAGATAAATCTTACTCTTGCAGTTGCACTCAGAAACCAGCTGTCTAGCAACTTTAACTTCTTGGTTCAGGACACCCAGGGAATTTTTCAAGCTTTCTGCATGGTGTATGTCTTCTTTTGATAGTCCTTTTAATATTAATGAGACTTTCTCCAGGTAAGTTGAGAGTTTTCTGAAATTATCCTTCTGAATCAGAATCTGATTGGCTGTTCTGGTGACATCAGATATACTAAGGACAGTATGAAAAAGTAATTCAGATGCTGGAATGAGTGAGGCGTGATCAATTGAATCGTCCGCCATCTCATCACTGATATAGTTTAGCTAAACCATGAAGTTCAGCTTTGCTCAATATTCATTTTCCCATTAGTCATTTTCTCGTCAAGCATGAAACATTAGAAACCTGACCTAAACACTGGTAGAATAAAAAAGTCTCAATCAATTTTTCTTATCCGATAAAATGAATCGGACTAAAGCTTGGGTTTATAATTCCATGATGTTTCAAAGATATCAAAATTTTCACAGTTCAAACAACTTGACAGTCCTCTAACAACAAAACACGTTAGAAAGAAATTAATGCTCATTTCAATTATGGCTGGTATACTGAAAACGGTTATATTAATAATCTAATTGGTTGCAGCTTAAAATGCAGGGGAAGAAGCCGGAAAATAAATTCGCCCTCAAGATATCGAGTGTTGCCAAACTCAAATAAATGAAATATATATAATTCTACAGCTCATTTTCTCACAAACCAGGCAAAGAGAAATGGAGAAGCTGACCTGAAATTCGAGTGAAGGATTTCTGGATGAATTTTCGGGGAAAAGGCG